TATATATATATATATATATATATGTATATATATTTTTTTTTTGTATAGTAATCCATACGTACCGGTACATAGATTTGTATATTTTAATCCCCCTCTTATGTGTAGATTACTGCCGGATACTTTGGAGAGAGTATTAACGTGAATACACGTGTTAAGCGTACACTTGCCTTATATCTGTCATTTTTATGCAAGCGAGACAGCTTCTTGCAACAACACAATGCGATTATTAAAGAGAAAAAGATACGACGATTGAGGAAACTCTTCAAATAGGATACACTTGATACATTCATGAAAAGAAAAGAACATAGATTTGCGTCTACGAAAAAAAGAAAAAAAAATAATACATAAAAAGCGCACACGATTTGTAAGAGCAATAAACTCAATTTGGCTGAAGTTCCAACGAGAAGAAATACATTTATCTGGCGATAAGTGTGCTCGAGAGATAACACAGTACGAAGGGCACTTTGTACACAACGTGAATTTCGCCAAGTTATTAAATTTCATGTAATCAACGTATTGTGTCCGGGCCTTCTTTTGCAAAATTGCGAGGCTATTGCGAGTCTAAATGTTGATTACTAGACCATAATTAGAAGATATGTGTGGTGACGCTGTGAGTTTTTAATTTATAACGCAGGTTTATTGCTGATAAGTTGTAATTAAAAAAAAAATCAGAGTTGACCCAACGATGACGACCGTACTTTGTAATTAATTAAATTGACATGGAATATTAATTCGTATCTTTTGCCTAATGTTACCGCGAGTTTTGTTGTTTTATGAGACGGAGCTTTATGTTTGTTTGTTGTGTGCCTGCGTGCGTGCGTGTGTGCGTGTGTCAGTCAGTGTATTTGTTACATTATCATTGTTGGCTTACTTTAATCTCTTGTGGAAAGCTAGAGAAATCTGGACGTATCCATTTTATTGCTTGTAAAATTATAAATATCTGAAATATAGCGAAATATGATTATATGTAACTCTCTCGAATCTGGATGATAATTAACTATCAAATTGTATCGAACTTGCAAAATCATGCAAAGAAGAAATCGTGGACTCGAGAGGGTTATGTACGAAATTAATTATCTTCCGTGATTACATTGCTGAAAGAAAATAATAAATTGTATCTTTGCGTTCCTATATTTCCATTGTTAAAAATGTATGGATTAAACCACAAATTAAATATTTTTTAACTTTTTACTTAAAAATTGCACTCAACTTTGTGCGCTCATAACTCTTGTGTGTTCATATAATTGCTGAACAAATAATTATTTTGAACGTTAAGTTTCACAAGAATTCCTGTTTCACGCAGCGAAGGGAAAAAGACAGTAAAATAACAATGAGGAGGAATACTTATGTATTATAAATAATAATTTTTCTTTTCATAATCGCACCTAAATCCATGTCACATGTATTACATTGTTCGATTTTTCACCACATTCTCTCAATTCTCTCATTTTCTGCAACAATGATACACGATATTCTCGCTATCTCATACATAATAATTCGAATCAAAGAACCGTGTTAAAATTTTACATCGCACAACCGTTCATAAAGTATGCTATATAAACCTTTGTCAAAAACAAATATTTAATTCGTGTGTATGTGTGTATGTGCGTGTGTGAGTGTACATGCGCGTGTGCAAAATTAGGTAACAACTGTATATTATTTATAAACAACATAGATTGTACAGTTATTGACGAGAGAGATCGTTATGAAGTATAAAATTAAATATATTTGTCATACTAATGTCGTGGTAATTGTAAGATTCACAATACGAAGGAAATAAGGCACAAAAAACATATTAACAAAATGTTTCAATAGGAATAGAGGAAATTTGTATTCGTTTGTCGTTTAAAAACAAATGATACGAAGCACATGCATATCACACAACACACACACACGCACGCACACAGAGAGAGAAGAGAGAGAGAGAGAGAGAGAAAGAGAGAAAAGAGTTAGGAAAGCAACAAATTACTTTATAACGTTGCTTCTGTTACAAATTACTTTTTTCATGTAAGGATCTGATAATGTCGTTCTTTGTTTTATTAGTTACGCAAATACTGTGATTTTCATGTCTGTGTATAAGGAGGATGGCAATTTCACGAGATTATTACAATAAAAATGATGCAATAATGCGAAAAAAGGTCCTTAAAATTGAAACGGTGGAAAACGTAACGAATTATATTACAAGATAAACGAAGAGTAACGAGTTGGAAAAAAGTAACTTTTCCAAGCCTATACACAAAGAGAGAAGGTATTCAGAGTTATCGCACAATATTTGAATGTTTTGGATGCGAATTAATGTCGAAAATTCAAATATAAAAACTGCGAAACTTCACAATAGCTTGGACACTTTACGGTTCGCTACAAAATGTTCAATTGTTGGAATTGTTTTCTGTGCGAAGATTGAATTACCTAGATTTGAAAGAACAATGCAATCTCAGCTCGGGAAACTTTCAACGCCCTGATGAAAATATCTTATTGAAAATATAATGAAAATGTATTTGAAAATCTTCTCCCCTCCCTCTCTCTCTCTCTCTCTCTCTCTCTCTCTCAATCGATTCTATTTTATTATCATTCCATCAATATTTCATAAAAATAATTATTTTAACCGTACCTTAGCAATTTTTCTTTAAAAAGTCACGCCATTTTCAGTTATATTCAGTAAATTTTAACTTTCCTTATATTTCACAGTATTACATTTCATAAAGAAAATTATGATTTATTTATACGTACACACATATATATATAATATACACATATATATATAATATATATATATATTATAATAAAAAGTAATAGTAAATTAATAAAAAGTATATATA